AGTATTCTCCTCTGTAAAATGGGGCGGGGGGAATCATTGTACGTACCTCATAAGGTAGTTGTTAGGGCTAAACGAAATAAGGCATTTCAAATGTTCTAATGGTGCTTGGCACACACTCCTCCCTAAGATGGTAGCTCCGAGTTTTACCCTCACTCCAAGTCTTTCTTGTATATCCAGTCTAATTAACTGCAATTTTCACCTCAAGAGGTCTCGGCTTTTTACTTCCTAACTTCCCTTTCCGGTGGGAAGGAGCGTGAAGAAGGGCTGCATTTCAGAGCCACGTTGGTGTGTGTGTGGTATCACTAGGTGAGAAGGGGGCGGACAGTTGCTTTGGTAACATCACCCCCACCCGTCACCCAGCTTCTAGTTCAGCTTGTCAGCAACCGCAAACTCTTTCCCAAATTTCTGACATGTTTGCAAAAAATGATAAGCCTCACGCACTTTTCTTCGGTCAAAGACTAAAAGGGAGAAACTCCCAAAAGTATGCACCCTGGAGTGCCCCTTCTGTGTCTTCTCACAGCCTCGAGAAAACCCTGCAAGATTCAGACAAGCTACGGCACTGGCAGAATCAGCCTCCACGATGAGACACCTTGCCCATTATGTTAAGTAAATTCTTCAGCATGTTGGTGCTAGACTTGGTGGAGGCCATCGCATGGCCAGCATCTTCAGGGACTTTGCACCAATACCTTCCGTGAAAGTGCATCTGACCCCGAGGGCAGGGTGTCTGGACAGCGGGATCGCTCTAGTGTGCTGTGCTTTTGTATTTCAGTCTTACCCCATCTGGACTCCTACAGGTCAGCGATCAACCAAAGAGGCTGATTCACCTCTGGCTCCATCTAAACACGTTGTGCCAGGCGGGATTCAACTATTTCCTGAACTGACTAAATGTTTAGGCAACTGTCTAATTCATCTCCTTGCCCAGGGATGATCGAGGACAAAAGCAGACATGCGCATCCCACTGGACCTCTCTGCCCCAATAAAATTAGCGCGTCCATGTTTCAAGATAGACATTCTCTTTAATTTGGACCTTCCTGCCTTCCCATTCTAACACACGTCAAAGGCAAAAACAACACCAGACAATTGCCATGGCATTTAATATTTTGTCTGATATAAAAGGTGTTGCATTTTACTAATGAGTAAGTGCAAGTGAGCCGGTTTTGTGAACCATCCGGAAAGTCATCAGTGGAATTCTTAGGCTGAATACGAACAGACCATCTCATTAATATGTTAATTTTGCCTGTGGGATTGAATCCTAGTGGATCTGATGACCTCTGTCAGCTCCTTGCTAGAAACTGGATGTTGGGTTAAATGCTTGTGTAATGCAAGTCACAATACCAGTAAGAGAAATGCCCGCAATGCTGAGTGCCACACAGCATGGGCATTCTGCTGGCTGCAAGTCCTTATGACCCTTCCACCAACATAGCTGTTGTAATAATGGACACGGACTTCATTCAGTCCTGGGTGATGAAAGAGATTTTTGGAAAAAAATGGACACGTTAGATTTGTCGATAGTTGCAAAATTAATCCTTAAAATGCCTTCATTTTCCCCCTGACAATTGGTTTTTTTTCTTCCCCTCTTTTTCTTTAAAAACATTTTTATTTTGTAACCAGATAGAGTTTGGAATCCAGCATCTGTGAAATATGGGGAAAATCATTAAAAGGGAGTGCTCTTTCAACCACATTTATGCTATTTCTAAATTGCCAATTAATCATCGACTTTCCCCAGTCTGAACTGGAATATTTAACACGTGCGCTCGCCCAGACATGCCTGGGGGCCCGGCATCCTTCCTCTGCTTGCCACACGAAGCCACCATCCTCACGAGAAGGGGAAGGACACCAGTAGTGTGACATCGTGTCACCCACAGCTCTTGCCCTTTTTCCTAACTTCCCACAACACGATGGGCCGTACGTAGGGGGCCACTGTTGCCCAGGTCGGCTGGGAATCAGGCAAGGGGTCAAGGTCCGAGTGGGAGATTCTGGTATAAGTTGGCGGGAAACATCTGTACTGGCCTTCAGCCACAACCCTGCTCTCTCTCCCCAGCCCCGGGCTCCCTGCTGCTCAGTGGGTTGCAGGAAAACCAGACGCCCTTCTCTGCCCTCCCTGCTGGGCTCCACGTTCCTCTCTCTCTGCCCTGAGGTCATTGCCCCTTTCCCCACCAACTCACGAAGTGCCCAAAAGGTGTTCCCTCATGTATTTTTTAAAAACAAAGGTTAATACCCAGTATAGAACACTTTAAAATTAAGAAATCACCTCTAGATCTAGCATCCAAGACATCTCCTGCCGACATGTGCTTTACTTTTTTCTGTGTCATGGGTTTACTTTTTAACAGGGGTGCAGTTATACTATGTTACCATAAGTGTACAAAGGGTATAAATTTTGTTTCCAGCTTAGTTTTTTTAAGCTTTTGTTGTTCAAGAACACTTCCCATGCCGTCACAGCGTCTTTATCAAGATCAGTTAAACACTAACTGGTTATAAAAATACAGAAACCTTAGAAAAAAAGAGAACAGTAAGAAGAAGTAAACAAAAGCATTTCTGTCTCCTCTTCTTGGGCTGACTATAGTTTTCTTTAGGTCTTCTGAATATATAATTGGGGTTATTCTTTATATAGAACTTATATATTGCATTCTATTAACTTGATAGATTCACTAAATTAATCCATCATAGGATGCATGCTATTTAATTGATCATGTCTTTAGTGTGGGATATCTGCTATTTCTTTTTGTTGTTACTATAATTAAGATAAGGACGAACATCCTTGTTTGTAAATCTTTAATTGCATTTCTGATAATCATTTTAGTATAGGTTCCTGTATATGGAAATACTGGTTCAAATGATACGAACTTTTCAAAGCTTTATGCTGCATAACCAAATTGTTTTTTAAGAAGACTCTACCAATGTTATTTATTTATTTATTTATTTTTTAATTAAGTAAACTCTACCCCCAGCATGGGGCTCGAACTCATGACCTGAGATTAAGAGTCTCATGCTCTACTGACTGAGCCAGCCAGGCACCCCAAGAATCTACCAGTTTAAACTACCCAAAAAAGTGTATAGGAATATCTTTCTCATCGTCATTTTTAAAATTTTATTTGTTTAGTATCTGTAATCAGATTGACATTTATAATCTGCCCAAGCAACTTGCAGGGGCGCCTGGCTGGCTCAGTCAGTTGAGCGTCCAACTTTTCATTTTGGCTCAGCTCATGATCTCAGGGTCGTGGGATGGAGCCCCCTCCCCTCCTCTAAAATAAACAAATAAATTAATTAATTAACTAAAATCTTTAGGAGAAAGACAAGCAACTGTCTACCAGCGATTGTCCTAGCACTGTATTTACATCGCTTCTAATTGTAACAGCCATCCAGCTGGACAAATATTACTTGCTGTCTCAGTTTTATAGATGATGAAACTGCAATGCAGAAAATTGAAGTAGTAAGTTGCCCAAAGTTGTCCACCTAAAAAGTGTCTGAACCAGGATTCTTGCCTGAGATTGAGCAACTCCAAAACCTGACAAGCTTTGTCACCAAGCTCCTACAAAAGAAACAATGCAGCTCATTACATGGAAAACACACACACACACACACACACACACACACACACACACACCCCTAAACAAAACAACGTCTCATGTTACACCTCAGCACCATCACCACGGAGTGATGAGCATCATGCGGGCATCTCCTTGTGCACATTGTGAAGTCACCAGGGTGGAAGGAGGCACACGTGGACCAAGAGATTGGAAAACATCTATGAAACTGAATGAGAAAACACATTTTATTTTTTTAAATTTTATTATGTTACGTTAGTCACCATACAATACGTCATTAGTTTTTGATGTGGTGACCCACGATCCATTGTTTTTGTATAACACCCAGTGCTCCATCTTAAAATAATACTCACCTCTCATTGTTTTGTTTTATTTATACAACTTATCCTGCAAAGAATTTGGTATTTGTGTCATCATACTTTGAAACATTTTCTTCTGATTTCTCTCAGAACTGAAAGCAGAAAAAACGATCACATTTGTTTTCTTGTGCATTTTTATAGTTTCTTGCTATAACATTTTATCTCTCTAATCCGTATCGAGTTTATTTGGGCATACAGGGGAAGGTACAAAGCTCACTATTTTTTCTTCTAAAAAATTAAATCAGTTACCTAGTGGCACCCACTCGATGACTCTGCTGCTTTGTATTTTCTGCCATGTGAAATGTATATGAAATCTATATATAAAATGCTCTCCTTCCTGCTTAGGAAGCTGCTATTTGTACCATCTACAAGAAGTAATCTTAGAGAAAGGACATCATAGAATCATTACCTTTTTAAAAAGAAACTGGTCATTTGAGTGACATATTACAGACCCTAAAATATTATGGTAATGCACTGCTAGGGAGCACCAAATACAGGTACAAAAAGAGAGTTGGGTGTCAGTTGCGCAGGTTGGACCAAACGAGTGGGGAGCAAACCACGCAAGTGTCCACATCAGCCAGGACAGTGGTATTGAAACAGTCCCTAATGATGACAGACCATCACCCCCACCGGCGGAAAAATCAGGACAAGAGTCAGGTCCTGCTGCAGCTCTAGAGCTGCAATGTGGGAGGGCTGGGTGTGTGCCTACCAGGGGACCAGCGTTCCAGAATCATCTGGGGCTCTCTTTGTAAGAAGCCTCCTCACACCCTTTCCCCGTGTGTGCTGCCCCCATTCCCCGCAGAATCCAGGTTGTCGGGGCTCCCGCCACCCTCCGGGTTTCCTGCCCCCTTTCCTCACTCACTCTGAGGTTCCGTGTCTGTGGCCGGACCTCGCAAGACGGCTGCAGAGGGCAGGAGAGAGAGTTTACATCGAAAGCAGGGGTATCATGAGGTACTCCCATTGCTTGCTTCCAAGTTGACGCCCAAGTATCATGTTCTTCATTCTCCTGTATTTATAAGAATTTCTTTAGGAAGATCATAACATAATTTTTGCAGGTCTAAGTGTGCTTGCTCACTGATTCTTTGTTTACTTTCAGCCCACAGACTTTGGATATTGGAATACTGGACATCTTCGGTTTTGAGGAATTTCAAAAGAATGAATTTGAACAAGTAAGTGGGTTTTCTTTTGAAACTTTATAAACTCTCATGTGTTTTTTCCAACTAATAAGTGAATTCTTTAATTCAATAGAGACTGTTTGCATAATGACTTGCAAATACAGAATTAAATTAAGTATTTTGCTATCCTGTTTTAAAATTTACATCCCTGGTTCATGGACATATTCATCCTTATTAGGTGGTCTGCAAACAACTGGCATGATCATTTTTTTTTTTTTTAAACAGAAGCACTTGTTTTTAAAGATAGAGCATACTATTTCAACCAGGTTAGAGAGATGGAGGGCATCACTGTGTGAAATCAGGGCAAAGGTCTTTAGAAACCTTGGCCAAAAATCAGAACAGAAACACTCCATTATGCTAAATACTGTTATTTGTAGGAATTGTCTTTATTCATACACATTCATACAAACAGCTATCAAAAACTCGTAAAAATAGATTCAAGAGGCCCTGATTATTTTTAATCCATTTATAGTTTAGGGCACTCTGAAAAATGCTAGTTCTTTTTTTAAGGATCTCCATAGTAATGTATGAATCCATTTAATCGAAGTAAGTGTATCTAAAAACTGAGCGTTAAAGAAGAGAGTAGAAATAGAACTTGTCCCAGCCAGCAGAGAAGGGGAGGCGAGCCTATGCAGAGAGGTACAGAGGGGAAGAGAGAAAACCAGGCCGGGTTACCGCATGGGAAGACTCCCAGCCGTGCCGTGGTTAGGAGCGCTCTTAATAATGACACCACTTGTTCGGCTTTGCTTTTTTAAGGGACATAGCATCATGGTGAATGACACCAGACGGGAGTTTGAAACCCAGTTCTGTGACTTTCACGAGCAGAGCCGTCTTGGTCAAGAGCAAACGTCTGTAATAAGCCTGGGTTTCCTAGCGTGTAAAATCGGGACACCGAGAGACTTGCAGAGCTGTGGGACTTAACAAGATGCCCGTCCTAAGGGTTCTGGTGGCATTTTCTAGCTCCCGTCCACGTGTGAGAAATAGTGGAGAGCCACCACCACCGTTGTAAATGAGGACACTCGAAAACCTTTTAAAATTCAGCCCTTTTTTTTTTTTTCTTAAAAAGTGGTGCAGCATCTTGTGAGTAGATCCTAAATCATGTTGACTCACCTCATCCAGGGTGAGTCACCATGAATCATGTTCTTTACAAAACTTTTAAAAAGTCTGGTATGAAATCAGGCGAGGGGGACCACAGATTTCTCCTCCTTTCAGATTTCTTTATCCGTGGGTGAGTGGGAAAAGGAGGACGGTGGTTTTATTTATTCATCACATACTCTAAGAAAACTAGGGGTGCACAGAGGCAGAGGGTAGTGAGAAGAGTGACCGGGAAAATGGTACAACAGACGTGAGGTCTGCGGGCCTTGACCGAGATGCAACTCTCAACACAAGAACTTGAAGGTTGTCTGGCCAGCAGTATTGATTCCTGACATGTTTGCCTTAAAAACATGCAGGCTCTCCTGTTCCTAATGAGACTCCCCGGTTTCTCCATCTCCTGGTGAGCGACCTGCAGAAACCACAGGTGTGGCCTCTCCAGTGCCAAGCTCCCAGCACCTGTTCCACACCCCACACACCCATGCGTCCAGCCTGTGCTCATGACTGGGATGGACAAAACCTGTGTGTTCTTTTCTTATTAAAACTTTCTTCTTTTACTACAGTTACCTACAGCCCTCCTTCCTTCTTTCTGCTAAATATTTTTATTATATATTTTAGAATATATTCACAGGCTGAGATTTTCATAGAACAAGGAATGGCATGTTTTCAAATCTAAAGAATGAGTCTCTATTAAATACCAAAAGTTAGTTTTAGACACTTCTGGGTAAAATCTAAAGATCAATTCTTAGGTTTAAGTTATGAAAAAAAAATTTATTTAAAAAAAAAACTGTGCCTTTTTCTTAGGTTTGGCTGTTGTATACAATAGTAACTGGGAGCCATTTAGAAGAATAAGATTGTTTTCTTTGTGATGAATTCAAATCTTAGCTTACAGTGGATTTAGCAAATTTCTAAATTTGAATGTGAACTTATCACAAAGGCTTCGGTTTGAGTCTTGCATTCTAGATTCTTGAGTTGCTAATAGAATGTGAACTTTTTCATTTTATATTCCATTGCAAACTTCCAACAAAATGTTTAACAAATCAATACTGCGTTCTGAATCAAACCCAGAAGAATATTAGCGCCTTTATAACTATTTATTTTATTGTGTTTTGAGCTTTTTGACCCATCTCTCAGCTATTTGCTAGAATATCAACTCCTGCAGTGTTGAATTGTGTCTGGTACAGTATTTTGTATATAATAGAAGCTTAACAAATACAGTTTTAATTGAAATCTCAAGAATGAATTCATAAGAAAACATCTTCATAGTGGATCTCCTAGGGATTTCCTTGCTCAGGAATAAACATATGTATTTCGGCTGCCCCTCCATAGGAAGCCTGACAAATGTTTAGAACAGGGACAGTTTGAGGAGATGCTAAGAAGCACTTCAAAACCTCAGCATCTCCAACCTCAGTCTCCCCAAGTAGCTCTAAAAGATTAGATGGGCCTCTGTGGTTCTTTAGATGGGAATTTATTTCAGCTAATAGGAATTGCTAATCCTGTTTTAATGATTCGTTTCTATTTAGGACTATTTTACATATTATAAAAAGATCATATTTAGAGTAAGATATATGTATATATATATGTATATATATCAGCAGTAGTTGGATGGTTCAGTAGAAGGGGGCTCATCCTAAGTAACTGGAGTCCCAAACTATAATTTGGAAGGCTCTGAACCTACCAACCTCATTATTTAAATAATTACATTTTTACCAGCTTACTCTCTGTTATGTAATACCTGCATTGTATGAACCCTATTGCCTTCATCACATAAAGTTTGTCTCTAGCTCTGTAAAAATACCTCCTAACGCATGGAGGGAGAAGCCTCTCCAGCTGTCCCTCCCGGCATCAGGCAGGCAGTGAATTCCAAGTTTGTGTGCTCAAGAAGCAGAAAGTGAACAAGACAGGGATATCCCTTACACATCCCAGTGCCCACGATGCCTGAAAGGAGAAAGCAATTGGAGGCATTAGAAAGTGGGGGAGAGAGGTAAGAATATTTCTAGATCCAGATGCGATGATGTGTTTGGAGAATTGAGAAGGGTGTGAGATGTCATGGCGAACAACAAGAGGACTCGAGAGGGAAGCTAGCTGTGGCTTGAGAGCGCAAAACCAGCAACTCCTATAGAGCTTACAAGCAGCACGTCAGAGGCATGGTGGGAGTGAAGATGGACTCACTTGGTCAAAAGGAAGTAGACGGCCTAAGTGAGGGACCGTGCAGTGGAGAGGGCTCCTGAAAGTCACGCATTAGACAAAAGGGCTTGATGTCTAAAGACGACCATCCTCCCCAAGCCATGACACAGGTCGCCTGGGACAGTCCCACTACAAATAACTAAGGAATGGAAGGCAGAATTAGAGCAGCTCCATTCTGCCGCTCCCGATAAGTACGAAATCAAGGCAGGAGTATCGGTGACTGCTAACGTTGCAACAAGAGACACACACAAGATGCTTATCAGTGTTCTTGCCAAGAAAGAAAGAAGGGTGAGGATGGAGGGAAGGAAGAGAGAAAAGCTGAATAGAATGAAGTTTCCTGAGCTAACTACTAGATAATAGGGACCGAGGACAGAGGAACATGATGCAACAGACCATGAGGATGCTCTCTGCAAAATCCAGCACGTGGGAGACCATACAGGACAAATGGCCCGATCTTTTCAAATGCAAGGGTAAAATATAGAAGGCAGGCAGCCTACAGATTCAAAGAGATCTCAGAGATAGAGAAGTCAGTTAAGTATATGAGCATGATGTAGATCCTTAATTAAGTATAAAATTTACGAGTTAACTAATATAAAATCTGGACATTTGATGAAATGAAGGAATTATGTTGATAGAAATCATGTGTGTTAAAGCTACTGTGGTTGTGTTTTCCAAGTCCTTATATCTTGGAGAATTATACTAAAATACTTGCCAATTAAATGACACAGTGTCTGAGAATTACTTCAGCTGAGTCTAATGTTGAGGGTAGTAGGAAAGTGGGTAAAGCAGAATTGGCCATGAGTTGATAATCCTTTAGGTTTGTGGCTGGCGGACACAGATGGGGGTTCATTACTTTGTTCACTGTGAAATATGCTTAAAACTGTCCGTAACATTACAATTTTAAGTAAATGAGAGTATTTTGAGATTACATAGATATTATTTTAATAAACGCTAGAATATTTCCACACCTAACAAATGGGATTGCAAAACTCTACGTGCTACAAATCTTTACCAAAGGCACAAAGAACAAAGTCATGGAAACTAATGGTTTAACATTCAGTAGTTTTCCTAAATTTCCCACTACCCACATAAAATGCAGCTATGTCTAATGAAATGCTTGGAGCTACGGAATCTAGTAAAATTGCATATCAACAACCTACTGTAAGAATAGAGAGAATTGGAAGAGAGAATACATTTGTTCAAACTTAAACTTCTCTTGCAGAAGATAAAATTGTGATATGTGACCTGTTTTCAAGCCAGGCTTCATCTAAGTTGATTTCAGAAGGGTTGTCAAGGATTTGAAACATTTCCCTGCTTACAAACTCTTTTCTAAAAAGTGAGATTTACTGGAAAGTCCAGATGAACAGTAATTCAGTCAGGCCTGAGCTAAGTGTTCGAACATCAAAAAGGTCAGATACCTTGACTTCTAAAATTTTAGGAAATGAAATAGTATATTTTGGCAACCTCAACCTCAAAAAAAATAATACCATAAAATCCTTTGTTGTGAAGTCACTATCCTAGAAATGATACGAAGATAAATCAGCACCCTTCCCATGGAGTACCCCATTTTACAGATGGGAAAACTGTGAGGGCTACAGTCTTTGCCCTCTGACAGAGAGCATCATTAGCAGTACCAGAAAGATCTGTTTTTCTGGCTCATTTGCATCAGGGCAGTCTATGGCTCCTTCATTAAACAAAAATTATTTGCATATGTA